ACACTTGCATTGTGGATTTATGTTTTCTGTCAGAGGTAATCGGGAGCCATCAAAGGCTCTAGAGGAAGGGAGTGGCTCATCCAAAGTTGGAAGTTCTGGCTCCAATTTTGGCACCTCTTACTGGTCTTCAGCAAATTGCTCAACTACTTTGGCCCTTGCCATGCTAATTTGTAAAGTAGACATGAAAATAACAACCTTTGTTCACAGGGCTGCTGTGGGGATCCAGTGTGACGATGAGACAGTGGTTAATGAAATGCAAATGAAAGTTCCATGAAGTCAGAGATTCTGGCTGTCATGTTCCCTACTAGAGCCCAGGGCCTAACAAACAGCAGGTGTTCAATATATGCATATTTGATGCATGAATGGATGATTAATATATATCTTTAATGCTGGGTACACAGCAGGTGCTCAACATATGTTTATTGAATAAATGAATGGATGGACGAAGAATATATATCAGTGTCTGGTATACAGCAGGTGCTCAATACATGCTTATTGAATGAGTAACTGAATGAGCAAATTAATGAATGCATAATGCCTATGCATCCACCCCTGGAGCCTGATATACAGGGGATGCTCAATAAATGTAAAAAGAAAGAAGGGAGAGAGAGAAGAAGGAAAGAAGGAAGGAAGGAAGGAAGGAGCTCTCGATTTGTAAAGGGCGGAACAGATATTAGACAGAATGACAGTCGTAGTTAATGAGAAGCCCAAAGGCCCAGGAGACATTTCTGCAGAGTCCCAAACAAGCTCTTGGGTGGAGCTGGCTGGCAGTATCCCTGCTTTTGTAATGGCCATGGCAGTCCTTACACAGGGTTGCTGAGCCCTCATTTTGGGGCAGCTGGAAAGCCCTGGCAGCAGCGGACAAATGCAGAGCCAGCTGCAACCTGCTGTGACCAAACAGGACCGATTAGCGTGTCTCTGCTTCCTGGCAGCGGGGTAATCCAGCTCCCAGTGGACCTTGAAGGAGGGTTAACTCCCATGTGCTGGTCTCGGTGCCTTCTTTTCTCCCACGGCTGCTAATTAAGTCTTGTATTTGATTCAAGACTCCTTGGATTTCAAGGAAGAAAGTCCCTATTAAGTTAGCTTAAACCAAACGAAAGGAATTAAATGTCTGCGTGGCCAGTACCGACGTTATGGATTTAGGAGTGCAAAAATGTTGCTTTGTTATGATCATCACTTCCTGGACTTTAGTAAATCCTCGGCCACTTATAATCTTATGCACTTAATATCTTTCTGCTTTTTTCTTTTTTTTTTTTTAATTTAATTTTTGTAGACCAAGGGTGTCACCGTGTTGCCCAGATTGGTCTCAAACTCCTAGCCTCAAGTGATCCTTTTGCTTCAATCTTTTAAAGTGCTGGGAGGACAGGCATGAGCCACCTTGCCCGGACCTTAATAACTTTCTTTATATCAAATTGCTGTTTAAAAATCTATCACCTGTAATATGGGGCTAATAAAAAAACTTTAATATATTTTTGGATATGAAACTATAGAGTCTTAATTGGAAGATCAATAGCAATTGCCTTAAGTAGGAAATGTCTGCAAAAAGAAATGCAACAGAAACAAAACAATGTTATTAAATTCTAAGTGGTTATGGTTGCCCCAGTGCCTTCTGTGTTAAACAGAGAGCAGAGCAGCTATGTTTAAAAGGTGTTGGCTGGGTGTGGTGGCTGATGCCTGTAATCCTAGCACTTTCGGAGGCTGAGGCAGGTGGATTGCTTGAGTCCAGGAGTTCGAGACTGGCCTGGCCAACATGGTGAAACCCCTTCTCTACTAAAAACATAAAACTTAGCTGGACATGGTGGCGCAAGAGGAGGCTATGGCAGGGGAATCGCTTGAATCCAGGAGGCAGAGGTTGCCGTGAGCTGAGGTGCAGTGAGCTGAGGTGCAGTGAGTGAGCCACTGTATTGCAGCCTGGGCAACTGAGCAAGACTATACGTCAAAAATAAATAAATAAATAAAAATAGGTGAGACTGGCACCTCATGGACTCTTTCTCTTTGACATAATCATAAAAGTGACTGAAATGAAAAACAAATAACTTCCTTGCAAGGAGATGCAAAATTATTATTATTATTATTTTTTTTTTTTTTTTGAGACGGAGTTTCACTCATGTTACCCAGGCTGGAGTGCAATGGCGCGATCTCGGCTCACCGCAACCTCCGCCTCCTGGGTTCAGGCAATTCTCCTGCCTCAGCCTCCTGAGTAGCTGGGATTACAGGCACGCACCACCATGCCCAGCTAATGTTTTGTATTTTTAGTAGAGACGGGGTTTCACCATATTGACCAGGATGGTCTCGATCTCTTGACCTTGTGATCCACCCGCCTCGGCCTCCCAAAGTGCTGTGATTACAGGCTTGAGCCACTGCGCCCGGCCTGATGCAAAATTATTTAAAAGATTCTCTCTGCAGAGAGAATTATTTAAAAGAGTCTCTCTGCCACCTAAAGTCGTTTTCTAAAAGACATGAAATCATCTCGTAGGCCTCCAAATTTCCTCACTCATCTCCTTTAATTCAGTTTAATATCTTAAAGCAAAACATCAGTATGTTTCATACTTTCCCCCTGAAGTGTTCCCAGGGGAACAGGAAGGTGAACTCACCCTTGGAGTTCAGGGAAGAGTATTGCAGAGAGAGGCCTGCCCCAAACCTCACACAGCAGATTGAAAATTCACGTGAAATTTGCATTCTACCCTGTCATAATTATATTTGTTTACCCTTATTTTTTTTTTCAATCCATGTGGGTAATTAACACTCCAGTATTATGTGCCATGTTTGTCTTTTTTTTTGAGATGGAGTCTCACTCTGTTGCTCAGGCCACAGTGCAGCAGCATGATCTTGGCTCACTGCAACCTCCACCTCCCGGGTTCAAGCAATTCTCCTGCCTCTGACTTCCGAGTAGCTGGGACTACAGGCACCCAGCACTCCGCCTGGCTAATTTTTGCATTTTTATTAGAGTCAGGGCTTCACCACGTTGGCCAGGCTGGTCTCAAACTCCTGGCCTCAAGTGATTCACTGGCCTCAGACTCCCAAAGTGCTGGGATTACAGATGTGAGCCACTGTGCCCAGACCTATGTTTGTCTTGAAGCATCATGTCCCTCTGTGGTTCTTGACCCTATTGCACACATGTTTCCTTTACTTTAACAATGTGAAAAATTTGCCTCTGTAATCCCAGCTACTCAGGAGACTGAGGCAGGAGGACCCCTTGAACTCAGGAGTTCAAGATCAAAGTGGGCAACATAGCAACACTCCATTTCTTTTAAAAAGTAAACAATTTGAGGGCTGGGCACAGTGACTCACACCTGTAATCCCAGTACTTTGGGAGTCCGAGGCGGGCAGATCATCTGAGGTCGGGAGTTCGAGACCATCCTGACCAACATGGAGATACCCCATCTCTACTAAAAATATATAATTAGCTGGGCATGGTGGCACATGCCTGTAATCCCAGCTACTCGGGAGGCTGAGGCAGAAGAATTGCCTGAACCCGGGAGGTGGAGGTTGCAGTGAGCTGAGATCATGCCATTGCACTCCGGCCTGGGTGACAAGACTCCAGCTCAAAAAAAAAAAAGAGCAATTTGAATAATGCCTTCTTAACTATCCAGAAAAAATTTTTCAAAGATAAAATAACCTAGTCACTCACATACTTTAAAAAAGAAATAAGCCGGGCGTGGTGGCTCATATTTTGGACGCTGAGGTGGGTGGATCACTTGATCCCAGGAGTTTGAGAACAATGCGGACAGCATGGTGAAACCCCGCCTGTACAAAATATACAAAAATTAGCCAGGCATGGTGGCATACATCTATGTTTCCAGCTACTCGGGAGGCTAAAGTGGGAGGATCACTTGAGCCCGGGGGGTGGAGGCTGCAGTGAGCCAAGATTTCACCACTGCACTCCCAGCATGGGCAGCAGAATGACACCCTGTCTCAAAATAAAAAATAAGAATGAAATAAGTTCTTTGTTTGTTTTGCAAATTGGGAGGATGTAAGAGTATGTCATTCATTAAAATAACTTCAAAGTGAGTTTGCCAACACAGGAAACCACCTTTATATTACGTTTCATTCTTTGCAGTAAAGAGATCACTCAGTACCATTATATTTTGATATAGTTTTATCCTGGTACAATAGATGTTAGAATAATGATGCCAAAATAAACTTGTTAGTGAAAAAAAGAAATCAGTTCTGAAGTTCTAACTAGGAGAGAGAAATTTTTAAAGGCGTTAATAAAATAAAATTTATTTTTAATATGCAAATCTTTACCCACAACTCTGTCTAGATGGCAAGATGAGGGGGTCAAGATCTGCCTCTGGTTATAAATACGTTTAGATTTAATTGAATATTGTCGATGCTTTTTCTTTACATTTGACCTTTTGAAATAAGAGTTAGATCAGTCTAGTCATAGATAAACACTGTGAATGGAAACTGACACTGAAGCTTTCCATCAACGGCTCAAATACTGCAATCAGTGTTGTCATTGACAGCATGGTTTTCTGAAAGGAAAAATTTTGTAAAGTTCCAGGTAAAACAAAGTAAATTTTCTTTTGACTTACCTGAAAGTTGCATTCCTGAAAAACTATGTTCATTCTAGTTGCATTCCTGAAAAACTATATTCAAACTATGCCCCCCCACCAAAAAAAAAAAGTCTTGAATGTGTGAAACAGAACAAAAGGTGTAGGTGCAGATAATCAGAAACAGTCTTTCGGCTGCATGATGGGCAGAACATTCGAGATGGTTGGGATCCAGGACAAGTCTATTTTCTCTCCTGCTTTGTAGAATATCCGACATGTCTGGGCCCAGATTGGCATTCAATGCCCATTGGGACAACCAAGAATGCCCCATGATTTTCTCACCCCCCACCATGGGTTGGCACTCCCCATACAGAGGGCCCCAGCACCCCCTTGGCTGTGTTGTTCCCTTTAGTGTGACCCCATCATCGGCAGCTTTCAATGCAGTGCGAGGCTACCTGGAGGTGCTGAATAGCCCTCGTGATTCCATGTCTTCCTTCTCCGCAGGGACTGAAGATCAGTGTGCTGTGGACTCTGTACTACGGCATCCTTAGTGCTTTTGCGCCCGTGTACAGCTGGATCCTGGTGCTCCGGGGCCTGGTGGGCTTCGGGATCGGAGGAGTCCCCCAGTCGTAAGTAAATACCCAGTGCTAGCTATGCAGCCTGGACGCCCATTGACAGGTCTGTTCATGGCCTGGGTGGGGAGGTAGGGGCTGAGATGGTGGGGGGCAGGGATACAGAGAGGCTACACCGGAGCTTCCAGGATCAAGGAGCTGTGATGTAGCAAGAAACTAGCATCATTATCATATTGTTGTGATCAACAACAACAGCAAAACAACACAGTGGCTGGAAGGTTGCGAAAGTGAAGTAATCATACATCTAGCATTGATTGACTGTTCCACTTGGACACATCACAGCAGCCTAAGAGGTGTGTGTTCTTGTGTTATTGCAAGCTCTGTTTTACAGTTGGGGAAACTGAGGCCCAGAGAGTGAAATCATCTATCTGAATCACATGGTGGGTAAGCAGAACTAGGAACACGAGTTTGTCTGCCTACAACATCCATGCTCTTAGCCACCATGAACGCTGCTTCCTACGCCCTTCTAGCCCAAAGTCAAGGCAGGGTGTGTTGCCCACGACATGTTACCCGGGCATTAATTTGCTGTTGCGGTTGTACTTTAAGGTACTGAGAATATTCAGAGCTGTAGGAAGAAGCCATTGTCTCCTGGGGGATTGAGGAAGACTTCCTATTTGTGATGAGCCCTGAAGCAGAGCTTGGCAAACTATGGCATATGAGCAGAATTTGACCTGCTAACTGGTTTTGTAAATAAAGTTTTATTGGAACACGCCACACCCTCCAGTTATGTATTATCTATGGCCGCTTTCACGCCACAGTAACAGAACTGAGTAGTTTCAGCAGATCTATGGCCTGCAAAGCCTGAACTATTTACTATGTGGCCCATTCTAGAAAAAGTGTGTTAGACCCCACCCTAAAAAATTATAATAGCCAATATTTAGTGTTAACTATGAGGCAGTTGCTTCTCTAAACAGTTTACCCAGATGATCTTTAACCTCTCATTTTCCCTAGAAGGTAAATTCTATTATTAACCCCATTTTACAGACAAAGAAACTGAGGCACAGAGAGGTAAAGTAACTTGCTCCAGGCAACTCAACCAGGAAGTGGCAGAGCTGAAATATGAACCTGGACCTTCTAACCTCAGCGCCTGGGCAATAACCTTGGCATTTTATTGCCTTGCTATTAAGAAGGCAAAGGATTTGGAAAGACCCAGAAGGAGACTTGGAGAAGATGTAGGATGTTTTGTAGAAAGAGAACTGCATGAAAAGAGGAAGCTGTAGCTGAGGCTGGGGAAGGCTAATTGTCTGGTCGGTCAGCTTGGAGGGATGAGATCTGTAAGAATTGAAAGCTGGCTGGGCACGGTGGCTCACACCTATAATCCCAGCACTTTGGGAGACCAAGATGGATAGATCGCGAAACCAGCCTGAGCAACATGGTGAAACCCCATCTCTACTAAAAATACAAAAGTTAGCCTGGGCATGGTGGTGGGTGCCTGTAGTCCTAGATACTTGGGAGGCTGAGGCAGGAGAGTCGCTTGAACCCGGGAGGCAGAGGTTGCAGTGAGCTGAGATCGTACTGCTGCACTCCAGCCTGGGTGACAGAGAGAGACTCTGTCTCAAAAAAAAAAAAAAAAAAAAAAAAAAAAAATTGAAAGCTGAGGTTGGACAAGTAGGCCAGGGGAAGCTTGTTAAAGGCCTTAAATGCCAGGCCAGAGAGATTCTATTGGTGATGAGGAGCCACTGAGAGTTCTTGAGCTGCGGAGGTACTTTAAAAGTATTAATCTGGCTGTGACAGGTGGAACGGGTTAGAGGAAAGGAATCATGTTGCAATAATTTAGGGAAATTTTGCAACAGAACCAGGTTGATCCCTTGTCGTGTATTCATTTATTTCACCAACATTTCTTGAGCACCTAGAACTGCTAGTGCTGGGGATGCAGCATTGAGCAAGAGTGCCATGGTACCTATTCTAGGATGGGATCCTGGGGAATCGGCTTTGAGATGGAGATTACAGTGCAGGTGGTTACTAGGATTAACACCTGTGAGAAAACTAGGCCTGGCAGAGGGGGAACCTAAGTTGCAATACCATTGCCACAGAGGCCTCTGCTCAGCCTACAGGGGTTCAGAAGCTGAGCTGGCCCTTCAGAGGTGTTTCAGATTGGGGCAAGGGGGCTAGACTGTTTTACCTTCACAACAACCAGTCATCGGAGGTGGGCTGCCCTGAAGGACAGAGCATGACCTTGGGCAAGGCAGCTACTTTTGGCCAAGGCAACTTCCGCAAGGGACTCAGCTACGAGCTCTTACTTAGCAGGCAACGCTCCTGCTCATTCTAGAGGGAATAAATGCCTCAGTCCTGAAGGGCAGACCACGTGGCACATCACAGCATCTTTCACAGTCCAGGGTGGATCCACTTGCTTCAAATATAGTCATGCATCACTTAATGATGGGGAAGTGTTCTGAGAAATGCATCAATTGGTGATTTTGTCACCATCCAAACATCATAGAGTGTCCTCATACAAACCTAGATGGGACTACCTCCTACACAGCTGAGCTATACAGGGTAGCCTATTGCTCCTGCGCTACAAACCTGTACAGCATGCAATGGTGCTAAATACTGCAGACAATTCTAACACAATGGAATTTGTGTATCTAAACGTATCTAGACATAGAAAACCTACCGTAAAAACACAGTATTAAATTAAAAAAAAAAAGGTCAGGCATGGTACCTCACACCTGTAATCTCAGCACTTTGGGAGGCTGAGGTAGGAGGATCACTTGAGCCCAGGAGTCTGAGATAAACCTGGGCAGCATAGTGAGACCCCCCCGTCACTATTATAGAATGATAGAAATAGGCCAACTTTGGGTGCACTGCCGATGAGTTAGCCCTGCTCTGCAAGAAGCAGTACTCTTCAATAAAGGATTGCAAAATAAATAAGTAAATAATAGAAATCACAGTCTTACCATCTTATGGGACCACCATCATATATGTGGTCTGTTGTTGACTGAACTGTTAAGCAGCCCATCACCGTAATCAGTTCACACCACCTAAGAACAGTTCCTCCAGGATTCTGGTTACTCTCTTTTCTGCAACAAGCTAATCTACAGTCCCTGTGATTGCTGCTGGCCTCATGGCTGCAGTGGATGCCAACGTCTCCCGCCTCTGCTCCCCATTCTAGATTCCTCTCAGCTTCAGCGAGCACTCCCACTGATCTAGACGGTTTGCTTGGGTGGGTGACCGAGACCTCACGCCTAAGGGGTTCAAGTCCCTGGTCACCATGCCTCTTTTAGGCCATAGCTGCTATGCTTGAACATTTAACACCAAAATTGGGCAGGGGAATATCAAGAGATGTCCGGTATATCACCTGGGTGCCCCTATGAGAGATGAGGCTTATTAAGTGTTAATGACGGTCAGGATCAATTTCTCTGACAGAATGCTGACTCTTTTTCTTGCCTCTTTTTCTTGACACAAAGAGCCCAGAGTTACTGGGTAGAAGCTGTTGCTTAAAGTCTAACGGGGCCGGGCCCAGTGGCTCACGCCTGTAATCCCAGCACTTTGGGAGGCTGAGGTGGGTGGATCACCTGAGGACAGGAATTCAAGACCAGCCTGGCCAGCATGGAGAAACCCACCTCTACTAAAAATACAAAAATTAGTTGGGTGTGGTATTGCATGCCTGTAATGCCAGCTACTTGGGAGGCTGAGGCAGGAGACTCGCTTGAACCCAGGAGATGGGGGTTGCAGTGAGCTGAGAGCTCGCCACTGCCATCCAGCCTCAGTGACAAGGCGAGACTCCATCTCAGAAAAAAAAAAAAAAAAGAAAAAAAGGTCTACGGGACTCTTGCTGTGTCTCCTGTGGAAGCTTTCCCTCCCTGGAAGCCAGGACCTCTACAGCCACAGAGCCTAGGAGTTGCAGGATGTGAAGTACAAATCCCCTGACGTGGGTCACTGGGACTGATGACAATGAAGCCTACTCTTACTTCAACCCCTTCATTTCCAGATCTGTGAATCTCTTCTCCTGGGAACAAAGCATCATAATGACAATGGACTTGAGTGGGTATTGTGTCCTGGAGGACAGTGCCCCATGGTCATAGGCATCATCTCTAAGCTGACACCTTAGTGTCACCTTCAAAGGACTGTTCCATTGTTTCCTCAGGTATCATCTTCAGGATAGCACAATACATGATAGGACCAGTGGATTCCACGGCCATATATCCACTTTTTTTTTTTTTTGAGACAGAGTCTTGCTCTGTCACCCAGGCTGGAGTGCAGTGGCACGATCTTGGCTCACTGCACCCTCTGCCTCCTGGGTTCAAGTGATTATTCTGCCTCAGCTTCCTGAGTAGCTGGCATTACAGGAACACACCACCATGCCTGGCTAATTTTGGTATTTTTGGTAGAAATGGGGTTTCACCATGTTGGCCAGGCTGGTCTCGAACTCCTGACCTCGTGATCTGCCCCCCTCGGCCTCCCAAAGTGCTGGGATTACAGGCATGAGCCACCATGCCTGGCCCCGTATAACTACTTCTATGTCTCCTTCAGTATATATGGGCTTCTTGGGTCCCACACCATGTCATGAGTGATCCTGTGTCAGTGGGTCAGACATTGTGTGAGTTCTCGGGTGATGGTGACAACTGAGACTTTGCGGGCAGGAAAGATAAACCAGTACCCAGAATAGGTGCCGATTCGGTGAAGATGAATTGCTGCTCCTTCAAAACTGGAAGAGTCCAGTGTACCTAAGTTGCTACCAAGTGACATGGAGTGGTTCCATCCTGGGGCGGTCCACGTTGGTCTCTGTTGCTGGCAAGCTGGCTCTTTGGCAACACAAGCAGCAAGACAGATCAGCATCGGAGGTGGGGATCTGTTCAGTCCCACTAGAGCACCCACCCTCTAAGGGGTAATAGTTCAGGGATTGACTTCTTATGCCTGCTGAGCATCATGACTGGGGAAGACTGGAAGAGACAGCCTAGAAGGGTCATGCTAATTCTAAAATAGATCATCAGCTCTGAAAGCAGGCTGCTTGGGCTTGAATCCTGGCTCTGTCACATAATAGCCGTATGACCTCG